TCAAAATCAGTTGTAGCATAATGTGCCTTTTACTATGTACAATGTTCTCCTGGTTCTGCTCACTTCACTCAGCATCAGTTCATATAAGTCTTCCCAGGTTTTCCTGAAGTCCACTTGCTCATCATTTCTTATAGCAATAGTATTTCATTATATTTATATACTACAACTTATTCAGCCATGTCCCAACTGATGGGCATCCCCTCAATTTCCAAATCTTGGCCTCCACAAAAAGAGCTACTATAATTTTTTTTGGACATGTGGGTCCTTTTCCCATTTGTATGAGCTCTTTGAGATATAGATCTAAAATGGTATTGCTGGGTCAAAAGATATGCACAGTTTTATAACCCTTTGTGCATAGTTCCAAATTACTCTTCAAAATGGTTGGATCAGTTCACAACTCCACCAACAATACATTGGTGTTCCAATTTTCCCCCATCTTCTCCAGCATTCATCATTTTCCTGCTTTGTCATGTCAGCCAATCTGACAGGTACAATACGGCACCTCAGAGTTGTTTTGATTTGCATTTTGATAATCAACAGTGATTTAGAGAATTTTTTCATATGACTATAGATGGTTTTAATTTCTTCATCTGAGTACTGCCTGTTTGTGTGCTTTGACCATTTATCAATTGAGGAATGACTTGGATTCTGATAAATTTGACTCAGATTTCCATATATTTTAGAAATGAGGCCCTTATTAGAGACATTGTTTGTAAAAATTCTTTCCCAGTTTTCTGCTTCCCTCCCAATCTTGGTTACATTGGCTTTATTTGTGCAAAACCTTTTTCAATTTAATGTAATCAAAATAATCTATTTTTGCATTTCATAATATTCTCTATCACTTGTTTTGTCATAAATTCTTCCATTCTCCATAAATCTATTAGGCAAATTTTTCCTTTGTCTCCCACTGCTTATATTATCAATATATTATCAAAAAAAAAAAAAAGCCAGGGGAGAGGGAGATAGTATAGAGAGAAATATATAGATCGTAATCATAACTGTGAATGTGAATGAGATGAACTCTCCCATAAAATGGAAGCAGATAGTAGAATGGATTAAAAACCGTAATGTTCAATATGTTTTAAAACACATTTGAAACAGAATGATACACACAAAGAAACAGTAACAGGCTGGAGTAGAATATAGTATGCTATAGCTGAAGTAAAAAAACAAAAACAAAAGCAAAAACAAAACAACAACAACAATAACAACAACAAAACAGGGGTAGCATTCCTAATCTCAAACAAAGCAAAAGCAAATATAGATCTAATTAAAAGAGGTAAGGAAAGAAACTACATCCTGCTAAAAGACACCATAGACAATGAAGTGATATCATTAATAAGCACATATGCCCTAAGTGGTATACCATCCAGATTCTTAGAGGAGAAATTAATTAAGTTACAGGAAGAAATAGACAGCAAAACTATACTAGTGGGTGACCTCAATGACCTCCTCTCTGAACTAGATAAATATAACCACAAAATAAACAAGAAGGAAGTTAAGGAGGTGAATAGAATTTTAGAAAAGTTAGATATGGTGGTGCTCTGAAGAAAATTGAATGGGGATAGATAGGAGTATACCTTTTACTCAGTGGTATATAGCACCTACACAAAAATTGATTATGTAATAGGGCATAAAAACCTCACAATCCCATGCAGAAAGGCAGAAATATTAAACGCATCCTTTCAGATCATGATGCTTCTTGGGTAAAACCTCATTATTTGACAAAAACTACAGGGAAAACTAGAAAATAATATGGCAGAGACTAGGAATAGGCTAATTTTCCATTTTGCCAGTTCTGCTTTTCAAGGAGTTCTTTTCTTCAGTGTACTTTTTTCCATTTTCTCAATTGTTTCTTTTTAAAGGAATTGTTCAGTTTTTCCTCTACTTCCTTATCTGACTTTTAAAATTCTTCTTAAGCTCTTCCAAGAAGGCTTTTTGGGCTTGAGATCAGTTCATATTCTCTTTTGATGTTTCAGATGTGGTTATATTGACAATGCTGTCCTCTTCTGAATTTGTGTTTTGATCTTCCCTGTCCCCATAGTAAGAATGTATGGTCTTCATTTTGTTGTTGTTGTTGTTTTTGCTCATGGTGTTTGCCTTTATCCTGGCTTTTAAAGTTGATCTATGCTTCTGGGGCACAAGGGGCACTGTCCCATTCTTCTTGTGCTGGGAGTTAGGAGCCTGGCTACTGGCTTTGTATGCTGGGTCCTCAGGTGCTGGCAGCTGGAGGCTCTAGGGACCTGGTAGCTTACTTGGTGCTGATCTGGAGCTGTTGGTGGTGGCTGGTATATGCTGAGGCCAGGTGGGGTCCTTCTGCATTTCCCTGAGGTTACTCTGAAGCTCTCTGGGTGGGGGGTGGGAATGGGGCTTTTCCAGCCACTGGAGGTTGCCTTTTCACCTAGGGCTGTGCTAGAGCACATGTAGGCTCAGCTACTGGTGGACACATGTCTGCCAGCACAAGTGGTGGTTACATAGCTGGCATCTTCCAATTCCCCTTACTGTACTAAGGCATGTGGGGAGGGGCTGTCATGGTGTTGGCACTTGCATGCTCCACAACCCTAGGGCTCAGGATCTTCTGCTGGTTTGCTGAGATTGGGCTTGCTGGAACACCTCCTGCCCTGCACTGGTCCTCTTTACCCACAGCAAGAGGGACCCCTCCCATCAATCCTTCCAACTTCAGGAGCCAAAAGACTGTTGTACCCTACCTGTCTGCCAGCTCCACTGTTCCGAGATTATTTCTGGGGCAATATTTTCTGGGTTCTTCAAGGTCGATAATGGAGGGTGAGAGCAACCCATTGCTTGCTCTGCGATCTTGGCTCCCAAAAGTTCCCAATTCTTATATTCTGCTCTTAATTAGAATGTTCAACTAAAAAAAACCCCTCGCTTTTAACTTGAAGTGAAAATTAATTCTTTAAAGCTTATACACCCAAACATCTCAAAAGATTATAACTTTTTGACCATATAGCAGAAAACATAAAAAACAAAGTCATATTTTAATGCCTTGTCATCGAGAGCATCAACTGATAATGATTTATAAGTATTTTTCTAGCTTCTTTTTTTACTTTGTTCCCCTCTCTCATCGACTTTCTCAAGGAAAAGCTGCTGGCATGATTTATCAACAATAAAGAATTTTCTAATCTAAGAATATGTTACTCTTTGCACCAGTTTCAAATATAAATCACCTCTATTTAAGTGATCTATCCCTTATTGTGAACCTATTGAAATTAAATGGAACATTTAATACATTTCATCATCCAAGATATAAAATCCACTTTTTCCTCAGTTTTTTGAAAATTGAGGCCAAACATATGTTTGAGCACTTTTTTCACATGAATGAGGCCTTGCAGCATATAAATCCTTTACAGATATGATCAAATCTTATGCCCATACACCTGAGTTTGTGTTCCATAGAGAGGAGAAAGGAATAAGCATTGATCAAATGATTACTATTTTCCCTACACTATGCTAAGTTCTTTATAAATATCATTTCATTTGGTCTTCACAACAAACCTGTTAGATAGGTGCTGTTATGATCCCCATCTTATAGTTGAGGAAACTGAGGCAAAGATTAAGTGACTTGCTCAGGGTCATATATCTAGTAAATATCTGAAGATAGATTTGAACTCAGGTCTTCTTGACTACAGGCCTAGTGCTGTATCCACTGAGGAACTACTGCCTCCAAGTAGAGGGCTTCTTTTGATATTTATGAGGGCCAGAGTTTCCATGGGGCTCTAAGGTCAAGGGCGAATTATTATCATGTATTTATATCATCTAATGTTTTTCTACTTCACCATCCTTAAAGATTTATTCAGGTAAAATCACATTTAAAAGACTGTCAAATGAATAAGCGGTTTTCAGATAAAGAAATTAAAACTATCTATAGTCATATGAAAAAAAATGCTCCAAATAACTACTGATTAAAGAAATGAAAATCAAAATATCTCTGAGGTACCACATCACACCTATCAGATTGGCTAACATGACAAAACAGGAAAATGATAAATGTTGGAGATGATGTGGGAAAATTGAAACACTAATGCATTATTGGTGGAGTTGTGAAATGATTCAACCATTTTGGAGAGCAATTTGGACCTATGCCCAAAGGACTATAAAAATGTGCATACCCTTTGACCCAGCAATACCATTTCTAGGACTGTATCCCAAAGAGATCACAAAAATGGGAAAAGGACCCACATGTACAGAAATATTTAGAGCAGCTCTTTCTGTGGTGGCAAAGAATTGGAAATTGAGGGGATGACAATCAATTGTGGAATGGCTGAACAAGATTTGGTTATGAATGCAATGGAATACTATTGTGCTCTAAGAAATGATGAGCAAATGGACTTCAGAAAAGCCTGGAAAGACGTGTATGGACTGACGCTGAGTGAAGTGAGCAGAACCAGGAGAATGTTTTACACAGTAACAGCCACATTGTACAATAACTAATTTTGATAGACAATTTTATCCTGAAAATGCTGAAATTAGTCATATAAATAACATTAAAACATGTACTGACTATTTGAATTCCCAATTTTATTGCTAAAAGTTTGAAAGAAATTTCAGTCTGGCAAGTGGAGTGGCATTTTGGCTAGTGTTATGTTCAGTTAAGGACATTGATGCTGAACAAGCTGACCTTTTGTTCAGCTCTCTCATATTTTGGTACCATTCACCATTTAAAACTTTGAACATGTCTCCATTTTGCAGATGGACCTGCCTGGGATCCTCCAGCTCCTACGTGTTTGAGGCCAGATTTGACCCCGGGGCCTCCTGGGCCCTCTATTCCCCCATGCCCTCTCTCAGGTGCAAAAAGGTTGGAGGAAGAGGCATATGCCCCCTCAGAGCCCCAGTCTGTCCTCCCTGCCTGGGCTGGCCTAGGGTAAGCACATGTGGCTTGAGTCTTTCAGGGGTCAGTGACCTTCCAGGATGTGGCCGTGGACTTCACCTGGGAGGAATGGGGGCACCTGGGCTTTACCCAGAGGGAGCTGTAGCAGGACTTGATGCTGGAGAATTTTGGGAACCTGGTCTGCATGGGACTTGCAGGATCCAAACCAGATGTGATTCATCAGCTAGAGCAAGGGGAAGTAGCCTGGAGGCCAAGGGAAGGCTTATCCAGAAGCAGCGGCCCAGATTGGGAAACTAGACTTGAAAACAAAGAGTTCATTTCAGCACTGGGCACATTTATAGAAGAATCTTCCAGGGAAAAACTCAGAGTGGACAGACCTTGTGTCTTAAAGTTGAGAGAAGCCTGGGAATGTGATGCCAACTTAAAGAGCCTACAGAATCATGAGGAGAAACATTCTAGTGAAGTAAAAATCACCCAGAGGAAGTGGTGCAGCAAAGTGAAAAACCAGGAATATACTAAGAATGGCAGAAGCTTTGGTTTAGAATCAGTTTTTTTTTCAAAATTGATTGCTCCTAAGGATAATGAGAATGATAATTCATTTAATAATCATTCAGACCTTATGGAAAATCATAGATTATGCACTGACGAGAAACCTTATGACTATATTGAATGTGGGAAAACTTTCCTTTGGTCAACAGAACTTACCACCAGAGAAATCATACTGAAGAGAAACCTTTTGAATGTAAGGGCTATGGTAAGGCCTTCCGTTGGAATTCACAGTTTATTCTGCATGAGGGGATCCACAGTGGAGAGAAACTTTTTGAAGGTAAAGAATGTGGAAAGGCTTTCAACCTGAGGTCATAGCTTACTTTATACTAGGGAACCCATACTGGAGTGAAACCTTTTGCATGCAACAAATATGGGAAAGCATACAGGCTGAGCTCACAACTTACTCTACACCAGAAAATTCATACTGGAGAAAAAGCCTTTTACGTGCAAAAAATGCGGGAAGGGCTTTCCCCTAAGTGGATAGCTTACTGTACACCAGAGAATTCATACTGGAGAGAAACCTTATGAATGTAATGAATGCTAAAAGACCTTCTTCATGATGTTACAGCTTATTGCACATCAGAGAATTCACACTAAAGAAAAAATTTATGAATGTAATGAAGGTGGGAAGCTCTTCCTCCTAAGTGGACAACTTACAGTACACCAGAGAATCCATACTGGAGAGAAACCTTGTGAATGTAAGCCATGTGCGAAGTCCTTCCACCTGCAAATACAGCTTACTTCACACCAGAGAATCCATACTGCAGAGAAACCATATGAATGGAATGAATGTGGGAACGCCTGTCAGTGGAGGTCTCTGATTGTAGTCCATCACAGAATTCATACAGGAGAGAAACTTTTTAAATGTAATGAATGTAGGAAAGCCTTTGGCCTTGGTGGACAGCTTACTTCACACCAGAAATTTCATACTGGAAAGAATCACTATGAATATAATGAATGTGGGAAGACCTTTTGCAGGAGATCCCATCTTATTGGACATAAGACATATCATAGTAGAGAGAAACTTTATGAATGTGATGGATGGGAAAAATCATTTTGATGTAGTATAGGACTATAGCTGATCAGAGAATCCATAGAAAACCTACAAATATAATGTGGAAGGGCTTTGGATGAGCTCTGGACTTTGTGATCAGATAATTCATGCTAGAGAAAAGCCTTAAGATTGTAATGAATGTGAAAATCCCTTCCACCAGGGATCCCACCTTATTGTACATCAAAGAATGTATAATAAGAAACCATAAAAAATAAATTAATATGAGGAAGGCTTTTGTCAGAGCACAAACTTTACTCAGCATCATATGATATGTAGAAATGTAATCAATGCAGGAAATCTTTCCATCTGAAAAAGTGACTTACTGGTCATCGGAGGACTGTATTTCATCAAAGCTTAGAAGAGTAATATATGTGCTTGTGTGTGTGTGTGTGTGTGTGTGTGTGTGTGTGTGTGTGTGTGTATGTATGTTTCTTGGACATCAAATAATTCATCCTGGGATAAACCTTATAAATGTGATGAATGGGGTCATGCCTTCCTTTGGAACATATAATTTAATCATCAAAGAAATAGTGTAGAGTTTGGCAATAATTGAGGGAAAATATCTTTCGGAGCATCCACCTTATCAGGCTCTTCATACTTACGAGAAAAACCACATGAATAAAAAATATAAAAAGTTCTACAGCCAGAATACCACGTTAGTATTTGAGCAATCATGTAATCTTTCAGCTTCCAAGAATGAAACGACAATAGTCCTTTTACATTGTGCCCTGGTTGGACCATATCTGGAGTAGTAGGTTCTGCTTGGGGCATCACAATTTAAGAAGGACATTGAAAAGGTGGAAAATATTTAAAATACAACAACCAGTATTTGAATGAGGCTCAGTAGAAGGGTCTGAGAATGGTTAACATGGAGAAGAGAAGACTTGTGGCATGTTAGCTATGTGAAAGAGGTATTACATTTGTTCTGTTTATCTCCAAAGGGGCAGAACCAGGAAAAAACAGTGAAAATTGCAAAGAGGCAAGATCTAGAATATCAAGAGAATTAATGAAAAGAGATAGGGACGAGGAGGAATATAGGATCTTAGACCTCAAACTATATTATAAAAGTACTGGCATTTTGTAATGGCTAAAAGAAAAGATTTATGGGTAAGGGAAGAACTTACGATGAAAAAAGAACATTATAGGAAGTAAAAATGGATAATTTTGATTACATTAAATTAAAAATGTTTTGCACACATGCACACAAAAAAACCCTTTTGAACAACTTTGACACATTAGCATTTAAGGCACAATGATCATTATTTGATATGTTCTCACTGGGAAATTCTCACCTCCCAAAAGTTTACACTTCTTGCCATGTTGCCCACGATTTAGGGTTGTTTTACTTGAAAGTCAACTTTTTTTTTAATCTGCATTTGCTTATGTATTTTTCCAAATCACTAACTGTTTCCAGCTGTGTCTGCAAAGGAGAATAAAACCTCTGATTTCCTCTTATCCAATCTCCTTGTTCAATAATGCCTATTGTGTACAATCAAAACAAATTAATGTTAATTTAATTCATTTTGTTTTATGTTCTTCATTTCATTTTTATTTTCATTTGGTTATTTTTTTCTATGTTTAAAAACCAAACATTCTGAAAAAAAATCATTCTCTAGATACAAGCACTCAGACAAAATAATTCACAACAAAGACAAGAGTGTGAGGGGGTGGAAAGCATACTGAATCTGGAGTGGGAAGAATTAGGTCCAAATCTTCCATCAGATGCCTGCTACCTGTGAGAACCTGTCCAGGTTGCTTAAACTCTACAAACCTGTTTCCCCATGTGAAAAAGCTCTAAGTTCCCTTCCAGTTCAAAATCAATGATTTTGTTCTGTAATTGGAAATTCTTCTTTGTCAATGGCCTGGAATGGCTCCCCCTCCTACAAAATGGCACAACATATACACCTCCTGCATACAGTCATAGTGCCTGTACCAGTTCTACAGCTCATATAGTCCCTGCTACATTGCATGTTCCAAAGAATACATACCCCTAGAAATAGCCAATAGAGATAGGAGTGAAGAATGTATTCTTTGCTTTCTGTATGTGCTGTGTGTCTCCATAAAAATAAATGTTTCTGGGCAAACTGGACTTTCTTTGAGCACTACATAATTGCCAGTGTGAATCTACTGATGCTATGCTGTTCTTTTTTCCCTGATGGATGCTTTACTATGTTTGGGGAAAACTTAGAGTGGAACAGTATCCAGAAGAACCATGAATATTCTTCTATAGGACCGATCAAATTAACAAAGGAATAATTTCTAGAACCAGTAAAATAATAATGTAATTCATATGGAGAAATAAAAGGTCAAGAATTTCAAGGGATATAGGGAGAAGGGTGAAGTGGGGAGAGAGGAAGAAGGCCTACAATTATCAGATTTCAAACCATTCCACAAAGCAGTAGTCATCAAATTATTTGGTACTGGTTAAAAAATAGAGGTAGAACAGTGGGACATATTAGGGTACACAACACACCGAAGCAAAAATACTATATAACCTATTATTTACTAAACCCAAAAGCCCATAAAATTGACAAAGTGTACAACAAGAAAAATGTTAATGCTGGAGGGGCTTGAGACAAATAAGCACATGGATACACTGCAGATGGAATTAGTAACTTATCCACTTAGGAAAGCAAGTTGGGACTATTCAATGGGTAATAACCTGTGTATACTCTTTCACCAGGAGGGCTACTACTAGGTCTGCACTCCAAAGACATTAAATAAAGAGGAAAACATCCCATATTAAAAAATATATATATTGATTTCTTTTTGTAGTGGTAAGGAGCTGAAAACTAAGGAAGTACACCTCAACTTGGGAATAGCTGTTCAAATTTTGTTATATGAATATAATGGAATACTATCATGACTGTAGGAAGTAAAGAAAGAAGACTTCAAAAACACTTGAGAAGATGTTTATGAATTGATGGAGAGTTAAGTAAGAATCACTGTAATATCAATATTATAAAAATGAGCAAATTTTAAAGACTTGAGAACTCTGATCAGCACAATGATCAATGAGAGGACAAATGATGATGAACTGGCTCTTTGTAATAAAGTGATGGACTGTCCAAGATGGCAAAGGGAAGCCAGGAAGTAGCCTGGCCTCTCCCCAGTTTACCTCAGATATAACATTAAGTCAAGCCTCTAAACAGTTCCTGGAGTGACAGAACACACAAAAAGATGGAGTGAAACAATTTTCCTGTTTATGATAACTTAGAGGAACTTTAGGAAAGGTCTATCTCACTTGGATAAAAGGGAAGCTCAGCCCAGTGCATGCAGTGTCCAGGCGAGACAACGGGAGGCTCCTGGATACAGCACAGAGCAACAACATAGGCCCCTTGGTACTATACAGCAGGCTATTGGTACAGTAGGCCAGCTGTGAGACTTCCAGACCTAGTGCAAAAGGCAAATTGCCAGCCCTCTGAACCCCAACACAACAGAGGTGAATAGGCTGGGACACTCCATCACAGTTGGCAAGCCACCAAATCTGAAGCACCTGCACAGAAAGTGGGTGGCCAGGCCTCTGGCCTTCAGCACAAGAAGTTTAGGATGATGCCCCTTTAGCCCCAGGAGCAGAACTCAACTTTTTTAAAATGAGAAAAAAATCAAAAAGAGCCATGACAATAGAAATGTACTATAACAGCAGGGATGATCCAAATATAAACTCAGAAGAGGACAATAATGTTAAAATGCCTACATGTGAAGCCTTAAAGAGGAATATGAATTGGTCTCAAGACCCAAAAGTCCTCTTGGAAGAGCAAGAGAGATAGAAAAAAAACTGGGGTGGGGGAAGGGGTATGCAGGAGAATCATGAAAAAGGAATGAACAGCTTGGACAAGGATGCACAAAGATATTGAAGAAAACAACTCCTTAAAAATATAATTGGCCAAATGGAAAAAAATACACTGAAGAAAATAACTCCCTTAAAAGTATAATTGGCCAAATGGAAAAGTAAGTATAAAAGCTATCTGAAGAAAACAATTACTTAAAAATTAGAATTGGGCAAGTGGAAGCAAATGACTATGAGACATCAAGAATCAGCCAAAAAAAAAAAAGAACGCAAAAAATAGAAGAAAATGAAAAAGCTTTTGGCAAAAACTCATTTTGACAAAACTCATTCCTATTAAAAACACTACAGGATATAGGAATAAATGGAGTCTTCCTTAAAATGATAAGTAGCATCTACCTAAAGCCTTCAGCAAGCATTATATGTAAAGGGCATAAGCTAGAAGCATTTCCAGTAATCAAGGGTGAAACAAGGATGCCCATCATCACCACTGTTGTTCAATATCGTACTAGAAATGTTAGCTTTAGCAATAAGAGAAGAAAAAGAAATTGAAGGTATATAGGCAAAGAAGAAACAAAGCTATTACTTTTTGCAGATATGATGATATACTTAGAGAATCCTAGAAAATCAATTTAAAAAAACTACTGGAAATAATAAACAACTTTAGCAAAGTGACAGGCTATAAAATAAACCTACATAAATCACTGGCATTACTATGTGTTACCAACAAAGCCCAACAGCAAGAGATAGAAAGACAAATTCCATTTAAAGCTACTTTAGATATTTTAAAATATTTAGGAGTCTACCTGCTGAAACAAACCTAGGAACTATATGAAAGCAATTACAAAACACTTTTCACACGAATAAAGTCAGATCTAAATAATTGGGAAAACAAGTTACTAATGAGTAGGCTGAGCCAATATAATAAAAAAAAATATAATTCTACCTAAATTAATTTACTTATTCAGTGACATACCAATCAAACTACCAAAAATTATTTTACAGAGCTAGAAAAAAATAACAAGATTTATCTGGAAGAATAAAAGTTCCAGAATACCAAGGGAACTAATGAAAAGAAATGCAGGGGAAGGTGGCCTAGCCATAACAGATCTCAAATTGTATCATAAAGCAGCAATCATCAAAACTACTTGGTACTGGCTAAGAAATAGAGTGGTGGATCAGTGGAATAGGTTAGGTACACAAGACACAGTAGGTAATG